GCTGGAAGTTTAAGTAAATGAAAAACCTCAAACCAAGCGTAACCGATACAAGGTTTGGAGGTGTCAGCTGGGCACAGTGCTGCCACATTCATGTCCTCGTACCCTCGAGGCCCCTCGGGAGGTGCCCAGACAAGCGGGGTCCATTTGGCGGCCTCACACTGTGCAGGGTGTGAGTCTGCTGGGAGCCAACATGCGGGGAAGGAGACGTGCCTCCAGCCTCACTGACCAAGAGCAGAGGGGACACATTAGAAGCGGAGGGACTGCTTCCGGAGGAAGGCGGCCAGCTGTCCGAATCTGAGAGCAACAAATCCCGGCCAGCAGGACGTCCATAGCCAAGAGGTTCTGACATGGGGCGGGGTCCCGTTGCGGACCTCCTAGATGTCAGCAGTACTTGAAATCCACAGGGTGGCGGGTTGTGCGCTGAGGTTCGGAGCTGGGGGGCATGGTCTGGGCAGCCCTGGTGAGACACGAGGGCAAGGTGTCTGGGCTCTGACAACATGGGGGGCATTTGGTCAGCAGGGGCCACTCGGGCAGGGAAGGAATAAGGCAGGGTGTGGGGAGCTAGGCGGAGTGGGCTGGCTGGCTAGAACGGGACGCCTTGGGATTATTCTGGACAGAGAGGACCCCACTCTGGCCCAGCAGGGTGAGTCCTGGCCCAGTGGCCTGCCTGCGCGTCTGCACTCAGCAGGAAGCTCGGAGCCACCTTGCGCGCTGGAATCACAGGTGTCCACCCCGCCTGTGTCCTGGATCACAGGGGTCCACCCTGGCTGCGTCCTGGATCACAGGGGTCCACCCTGGCTGTGTCCTGGAATCACAGGGGTCCACCCCACCTGCGTCCTGGATCACAGGGGTCCACCCTGGCTGCGTCCTGGATCACAGGGGTCCACCCTGGCTGCGTGCTGGAATCACCTGGGGTGACTGTAAAACTATGCGTGAGCCGGAACCCCCGTCTGAAGAAATCCACATCTAACTGAGCCGGGCGTGTTCTCCTGACTGAGAAAAGGACCCACGGTCCAGGCAGGGGTGCCCCACTACTGACTCGTGAGCGACACCCCCTGACTCTCTGCTTTGATTTCTTTCTCTAGGAAACACACGTCCTCATTCTCACAGGGTCGCCTCGAGGAGAAGAGGTCACGCAACGTGAACGAAAGCGTCACGGACACCGCATGGACCCCGCACACCTGCGGCGAGGTCCCTGTGTCCGACGCCCGTGAGCGGGACGGAACGTGAGTGGGATGTGGTCTGTGTGAAAGTGACGAATGATGGCAGTGATGGCCGGTTTCTGTAAGCCCAACAATGCAGTAGCCTCAGACTCAGAATCACGGGCTGTCTGGACCCAGGAGGCCCGACTTCCACCGCGGCGTGGAACAGCCGCGCGGACCCGCCGCTTCTGATAGGAGAAAAAGCGTCCTTCATCGCCCTCGTCACCAACCATAGGTGCAGGAGGGCAGCGGGACAGCCACAGGTGACTCCACCTGAAGTTCCCTGCAGTGTGGGTTTGGCACAGGGACCACCTCCTGCCTGGGCGGAGTGACCACGGCGCCTGGCTCAGCCGCTGCGCCCGCCCGGCTGCTTCCGGAGGTGACCAGGTGGGCGGGTCTACTCTCCTGCTGCCGCGGAGTCTACCACACGGTTTTGGGGAACCGCCCCCAGATTCCCGGGTCAAAACATCCTTGGGGAAAAGGGCAGGTACCTACGGCTTTACCATGTTGCCCTGGTGATGCTTTGATGTCCTGCCCACCCCTGGCCAGAGTTGGTGTGTATGTTGTGTGAGTGTGTGTGTGTGTCTGAGAGAATATGTGTGTGATAGTGTGTGTATGTGTGCACGTGTGTGAGTGAATGTGTGTGAGAGGGTATGTGAGTGTGAACATGTGTGTACATGTGTGTGAGAATATGTGAGTGTGAACATGTGTGAATGTGTGTGACTATGCATGTGTGTGTATATGTGTGTGAGTGAATGTGTGTGTGTATGTGAGTATGTGTGAAAATATGAGTGTGAATGTTTGTGAGAGTATGAGAGTGTGCATGTGTGAGTGTGAGTGTGTGTGAGAGTGTGCATGTGTGTGAGTGTGCATGTGTGTGAGTGTGTGTGGGTGTGAGTGTGGGTGAGAGTGTGCGTGTGTGAGTGTGCATGTGTGTGAGTGTGCATGTGTGTGAGTGTGCATGTGTGTGAGTGTGTGTGGGTGTGAGTGTGTGTGTGAGTGTTCATACGAATCACTTGGAAATCTTGCTAAACTCTGAATTCTGATTCCATGGGCCCTGCGTGTGGCCTGAGATTCTGCTTTTTATCCCCCCCCCCCCCCCCCGTGAGGCGAGGGGCTGCCATGCACCACATTCTGAGGACCGAGGCTCCCGGAGACAGAGGGACGGAGGGACGTGGGGACAGAGACCTCTGCGGGCGGCGCGCGAGGATTTCACACGTGATGCTCACGGGCCGGAAGGAGGGGCCTCGGGACCTCAGCCCGGTCCCCGGCAGTGGGAGCTGGGCACAGGGTCCTGGGCCCTGCGGTCCAGTGGCCTCGGGAGCCGAGGGGACCTGAGCTGCAGTGACTGGTTCTCCCAGGAAGCACCGCCAGGGCCCCCCGAGCCCCGCAGCGAGTCCCTCGTGGTGCCGGCTAAGATTCAACCGTGCCGTCCAGGCAGTGACACGGCATCTGAACCAGAGGTGACGGAGACGCCCACAGAGACGGGGGCGCCTGGCAAGGCCTGCTGACCGGACGCTTCCAGGTAGACCGACTGCTGCCCGCCTGCGCGTGGGCCTCAGGAGCCCGGCTGCCCGGCGCTGAAATGGACCCCGGGTTCCAGCCACAGCGTCTGCAGCGCTCGGTCCCCCTCCGACAGCCAGGCTGACCCTTCCCGCAGGGCCCCGCCTGCCCGCCTGGCGTGGGAGCCACACAGCCTCTAGCAGCCAGTCTGAGCCGCACCTCCCTTCCTCTGCCTCAGGCTGTGGGATGTCAGCGCAGCCCCGCCAGGTCTAGGGAGGGGCTGCTGCATTTCTCTGTGGGGAGCGGAGGGTGCAGGGACCGGGGGGCATCTTTCCCAGAGTTATCACTATGCCGGACAGCGGGGTCCTTGCTCTCAACACACCTGCAGGGTGAGGTCTGAGTTACCAGCCTTGTAAGCCTGATGCTGGGACGGAGCCTGCAGGACAGGTCAGCAAGGTCTCCCGTTGTGACCCCATCGAGAAGGGCAGGGTAGCTGTCGGAGCTATCCTTTAACCGCGTCCACCCAGTGAACCGGTTCCCTCAGCTCAGGGGCCGGACTTCGAGGGCACACATACACTCGGTTCCTGTGTCAGCGTCTGCGGCGTTAGTGCTACGTGAAGACAGCACTTGGAGGATCTGACAGCTTTGCCTTGACCTGTCGCCTTCAGAGCTAACCAGAGGGCAGCGCCCAGAATTTCTAGGTATCAGATCATGACCTGGAGCAGAGCCTGGGGCCGGCACAGTGCCCAGGTCTGGGACCCCGCATTTAAGGTGTCTGACCCTAACTTCAAGGGCAAGTGAAGAGACCCACTTCTAGAACACAGACTCCAAACATCGAGTCTGGATTCTCGAGGTCTTCAAAAGCCAGAACCCCTGCAGACCCCATGGCCTTGACCCAGACCTGGAGGGGCGTGTGCCTCCCCCACCTACCTTTTTCTAATGTATATATATATATTTTTCTGTTTATTGATTAAATTGAGAGAGAGAGAGAAACATCGATGAGAGAGAACATCAATTGGCCGCCTCCTGCATGCCGCCCACTGGGGATCAGGCCTACAACCTGGGCATGTGCCCTGACCGGGAATCGAACCGGCGACCTCTTGGTGCAGGGTCAACACTCAACCCCTGAGCCACAGCGGTCGGGCTCCACATCCTCTTTTATATCCACTGTGCTTGAGGAGCAAACCTTCGCTAATTTTGCTCACCGCTACGTCCTGTTGGAAGAGAAAGTGCCCCTTTGCATACAGGACGGAAGTAAAAGGGTGTTCTCAAATGCTCGGTTTAAAGTGTCTTCTTCAACCATGCATCAAGCCAAACAGAAAGTCAGGGCCGTCACAAGGGTAGCAGACATGAACTTGGACTTCAGCCAGAATTCCTGAGAGGAGTGTATCCGTCTGTCGTCACCACAGACTCGGTGGCGCCCTGACAAACGTCCCGGCCCGCGAGCTCGGCGCACCTGAGCCTTTCCGTGATGTCCACCCTGCCGCACAGGCACGGGGCCTTCCAAGCGCCCGCACAGCCTCTCTCCGAACCCCCGATGGATGAAATGATGGTCTTCTTCAGGGCCCTCACGCATCTGATAAAACACCGATTCTCAGTGTCCCTGCCGCTGGGGTGACTGGTGCAACGCAGGCCACCGTTAGCAGAGCGGCACCTCCCAGCAAAGCCACACTGAGGTGCAGAGACCCTGAAGTCCCGGCCTGCCCCGGCCCACTCCTGTCTCAGTGCACCCGGGGGTCACCCCGCCCGTGTGTGGGCGCAGAGAGGATCGGAGAAACCCTTGGTTCTGGAACGCGCCCTGCAGACCCAGCCGGCCTGACCACACGCCCGCGGAAACGTGTCTGGGGACCACGCACGCTCAGCTCACGGCAGCCACGTGCGTGGGCTCCGCAGGGACTCCGCGGAAGTGCCTTCCCCGTGATCTCGCCACCGGGAACCTTCACAAAGTGACCCTGGACCCCATGGGCATGGGACGCTCGTCCCGGTTCTGATCCCTTCCTGGGCCAGCACGAGTCAGAGCAAGGCCTTCTGCTACCCCAATCCAGCCGGCAAAGTCCTGGGTGGTCTCAGCCACGTCGCTGGGCCCAGGACAGGACTCTCAGGCTGACCAGCTCAGGGCCTCTTCCCTCCAGCCGGGTGACAGCAGGGGGCGGGACATGCGCTCACTGTGCCGTGTGCCTCCCCTCCCGCGGGAAGGAGGCAGCGCCAACAGCCCCTTGGCACAGAGGTGCTCTGGACTCGGCCGACGGCACGGCCGCAGCTGGCGCCCGGAGGGGCCGTCAGCCCTGTACTCACCTCCCGAGTGGGCGGGCGGCCCGCACAGCAGCGCCATGCCCTGGCCTTGGCGGACGGACACCGTGCTCCTCGTCCTCGTCTTAAAGTTCTCGAGATCTGGGGGGAAAGGACAGAAACAGGGTTCACCACGCAAAGCCCTAGGACGTGTGGGCGAGTACCCCGTCCTCAAGAGGAAGGACTCCTGCCGAAACCCCGTGAGCCCCTCCCCTGGTCCCGCGGCCACGCTGCAGGGCAGCCTCCCGCCACCCGGGCCTGTTTGGACGTCAAGCACCTAACGCGAAGTGAGAGCTGACATTCAGTTCCTCGGTCACGCGAGCTGCAACTGAGGTGCTCAGGGACCCCGGTGGGCTGGTCGCCCCGCGGGTTACAGAGACGGTCTCCACCGCTGTAGAACATTCTACGGGATGACGCAGGTTCAGATGAACTTCGAGGATGTTTACTGACCTCCCAATACCTCCCTGTAACCAGACAGCGCTGTCGGGGTGCCGACCCACGTTCTCTGGTACTCGGTTCCGTTCACGTACCTGCCCAGCTGTGTGTGATTCAGTGTGTACACTACATGGACCTGGAAGAGGACCCACTACAAATACACATAAACCTTGTGCACAGTGTGCAAAGAGACATACACAGATGTCATTGTTTGAAGGTCCTTGTGCATTTTTAATGTTATAAGGTGCTGTCCCAGACTCTGTTGGAAAGGACATTCTCTCTCTCTCTCGAGGTCACGTCTGGGGAGAGGGAGACGGCATCAAAAACCCCACAGTCACAGTTGGGGGTCACCCAATGACCAGCTGCTGCTAAAAATGAGTTAAGAATGAGGTCTAGCCCGGCCGGTGTGGCTCAGTGGCTGAGCGTCGACCCTGCACCAAGAGGTCGCCAGTTTGATTCCCGGTCAGGGCACATGCCCGGGTTGTGGGCCCGATCTCCAGTGGGGGGCATGCAGGAGGCGGCCGATCAATGTTCTTTCTCATCGATGTTTCCATCTCTTTCCCTCTCCTGTCCTCTCTCGCGAAAATCAATAAAGAAAAAAAATAAAAATAAAAGTAACTAGGTCTAATGAAACGACATGCTGTTGTTAAAAAATGGTTTTCATTCCATCCTCTTCCATTCAAATCCTCTTAAGGGCCGTTTTCAGGGCTGTTTAATTTTTTGTTGTCTAAGACCTTTGATTTAACGCCCTCTGATCGGAGTTGAGGTGTGTTCCCAGCCAAGTGTGTCGGGTGCTATGGGCAGCTCACCGCACACAGGGCGGACAGTGTCTGTCCCCCACGCTGTCCACTCTGGTGAGGGTTTCGTGCAGATGACCTCATGTGGTCCCACCCACGATGATCTGAGTTAAGTGTGATTAATGTCCCCATTGTACAGACCAGGAAAGAGAGGCCCCTGCACCTGTTACAGCTGCGTCTCGAGTGACGGGGAGGAGGCGAACGGGAGCTACCAGGTGGAGTCCCCACACGCAGGTTGGGTTTTTGCGACAGTTCTGGAACTAAAACATCTGTACACACACACGTCTTAATTACCAGCTTCTTGTGGATCTGAACAAATTTTAAGCCCATACATTAGTGTTTTCATGAATTAAGTGTTTCCAAAAATCTCATTAAACCTCATCTGGTCACCAGCTCAAGACACAAACATGTGGACACACACATTCTACCCCTTAGGGACTCAAAAGTCTGGTGGCCAGGACTGACAGGTCACAGCTGACCCTAGCAACCGGAGGACCACCAGAGTCGAGGTGCAGGCGGGGGCCCCTGGAAGAGAGGACCGTACTCAGCACAGCACGAAACAGGGCTGCGATTCGAATCATGTTTCTGATGCAATAAACCACTTTTTATTTGGCGAACACCAGGTGGGGCTAGGACATGCTTTTCCCTCCTCTTTAAGGAGACAGTTTCAGAAGCCATCCAAGGAGATGAAACCCGAGATCTGAAAAACGTTCTCACGGCGTTAACCGTGTAAACCACTACCCCTCTGAGCGGCCCTGCGTCGTGTGCGGTTACTTCGGTGCACGCTCCCAGAGTGGGTCATCTGCTTTTGCACAGACACGGTGCAGCCTCCAGAGTTGTGAGAGAAATCAGGAGCTGATCGGTAACGGACCAAGTCTTATCCAGGCTACCTTCAGCAGGTCCCGACGCGCAAAATGGGGAAGAGGTGAGGAGCATGTGCAATGATTTTTAACTGTCCCGTTGAGCTGAACAACGAGATCCCTGATTCCTCCTTTTCATCTTTTAAATCCACGCTGCTGCACAAGACCCGGGCAGTCAGCACACACGTCCATCTGGTATCTGAGGGAATGTTTAGACATGTCGCTTCGTTAACTGAAATAGATTCCAGATGGCAGACCTACCCGCAGAGGGAACAGGGCGGCTGCGTTGACACAGGTCTGTTGGGGAACCTCTGCCGTGTCTCAGGCATGTCACTGACGCTGGGCAAGGCTTCGTCTTAGAAGTGACAAGTGTGCTGTGTCACCGCGTGGCTACCAGAGTGGCACCGTCAACACATCCCCTCACAAGTGCTGGCGAGGGTGTGGAGAAAAGGGGACTCTAGTCCACTGCTGGTGGGAATGCAGACTGGTCCAGCCACTGTGGAAAACACTATGGTGTTACCTCAAAAAATTAAAAATGGAACTGCCATTTGACCCAGTGATCCCACTTCTAGGAATATACCCTAAGAAGCCTGAAACACCAATCAGGAAGAATATATGTGCCCCCATGTTCGTAGCAGTACTATTTACAGTAGCTAAGATCTGGAAACAGCCCAAGTGTCCATCAGTAGACGAATGGATAAAAAAGCTGTGGTACATGTACACAATGGAGTACTATGCAGCTGTAAGAAAGAAAGATCTCTTATCCTTTGAGATGACATGGAGGGACCTGGAGAGCATTATGCTAAGAGAAACAAGCCAGTCAGAGAAAGACAAATACCACATGATCCCACTTCTCTGTGGAACACAATGAACACAATAAGCTGTCGACTAAGAGCTCCAGAGTCACGGACGTAGGGAACAGACTGACAAACCTCAGAGGGACGGGGGTGGGGGGATGGGAAGCAATAAACCAAAGAACTGATGTGCATGTAAGTACAACCGATGGACACAGATATAGGATGAGGAAGGCAGCAGGAGGCTGGGAGTGGGGAGGAGGGGTCAGTGGGGGGAAAAGGAGGACATCTGTGACACTTTCAACTATAAAAATAAAGAAGGATGGGAAAAGATTACGAGATAACATCTGAAGAACACGGGTCTTTCAGCACAAGCTTGGTGCTCTGCCCACGGAGGGAGGCTGGACTCCCGGGACAAATGACAGGCCAGTCACTCTATTTCAGAGGGTTCAGGGCACTCTAGAGAGGGCTGCAGTGCCCGCCCTGGGGCACCGTCCTCACGCGGTGCCCAAGGAGAGGTCGCATGCCCAGAACCGGTCCCTTCGGCCATCAGCCTCCACCAGGTGCTAACTGCCGGAGCACAGCCGTTCCCTAGTCAACGTCTGCGTGTTGGACGGTGTTTCTGGAAGCGTGTACACTCAAGGCCAGGCCCTTCCCAGTTATTCCCACGTATGATTTTATTGCGAGTCATGGTACCTCCAAAGCCTTGGGTCAGCAGAAATGGCCACCAGGGAACAGAACACCCTGGAGACACCACTCCACCACGGCCACCTCGGCACCAGTGGCCACGCAGTGTCTGCCTGCACCGTGGACTGAGGCCACGCCCGGGCCCCTGTCCTGTTCACGCAGGTCTCGGTTCATCCCCCAGCCCGGTCTGCAGCTGGAAGAACCAGCTTGGAGAGGCGCGCACACCAGGACGGGGCCAGCAGAGCACAGACCACACCCGTCTCTCCAAAGCTGATCTCACGACCCACCCCTGCTGCTCCCCCACCGATCCGGATAAGCCGGTGAACAAGCATTTAGCTCAGACTCATTGCTCAGGTCCTGAAGGCAGAGAAATGGTTCTTTGAGTGAGCTTTATGCTTTCCAACGAGTGTGTAAGATGCACATGGCCACGCACAGAGCAAAGGGCCAGTGCCGGGCTCCCAAACCTCCTCTTCCTTTGCTCCCCTTGTGGGCGAGCACTCAGCGTGGCGATTATTTTTATTTACTGATTTTTGAGAGAGAGGAAGGGAGAGGGAGACAGGGATGGAAACAATGATGCGAGAGAACATCGACTGGCCGCCTCCTGCAGGCCCCCCACTGGGGATCAGCCCACAACCTGGGCAGGTGCCCTGACCGGGAGTCGAACCGGCGACCTCTTGGTGCAGGGTCAATGCTCAACCACTGAGCCACACCGGCCGGGCCCCGTGTGGCGATTTTCAACGTGAGGAGCAGAGGATGAAGCTGGACAAGGAGGAAACCAGAAACGACTGTCAGGACGCGGAACGGCTGAGTTATTAGGCCGCTGGCTGAGCGATGCCGCCCGGGCGGCTCCTCCGCGCAGTGCGAGGGTGACCGGCGGTCTGGACGAATGAATAACGGCGTGTGGGTCGGGTGGGGGTTCGCGTCCAGGCACCCAGGTGCCTCCGCACAGCCTGTCTGTTTTTCCGGCTGTGCAAGTGGCTACTTGATGTGAGGCGTAGACTTTAAAGAAAGAAACGGCTGTGCTTTTGGTACTGATGTCACTGCTCGGCATTGGACATCCTTCCCCCCGAAAGCGTGTGCCAAGGGATTCACACTTGTGTGGCAAGGGTGTTTTCCCATCGCGTGTCTCTGTGAACACACGGCCCCTGTCTCCCGTGGAAGGCAGTGTCAGCGTTTCGCGTGACCGGGCGGGAGGAGGCGCTGAAGCTTGAACGGGCGCTCGCGGTCAGCACAGAGCAAGTGTGAGCAGGTCGCTCCTGGGGGGGCCAGAGCCCTTCAAGCCGCCACGTGTGACAGATCGTTTGTAAAAACTCTTCACGTATGAACGCGTCTGAATTCAGACCGCGGAGAAAATCAGAGGTGGTGGGAAATCACATGTTTTCTGTCGGGAACGTCCTCCCGGGTTCAGAGCTGAGGACAGCATGGGGGGGGGGGAGCAGGAGGGGCCAGGAGTGGGGAGGAGGGGTCAACGGGGGGGGGGGACACCGGAAATACTTTCAACAACGAAGATCAATGAAATAAATAAACAC